TCAAACGGTTTAAGAGTTTTGATAAAATGCCGGAATTATTTATTTCCGAGGTAAGCAATTGCTGATGTTATTAATAATTGTGAGAGCTGGTGCTGAAATCCAGCTGAAGCTGAAAATAACCAATGGTATTAGAGAATAAAATCCGATCAACCAATGAAAGGTCATTGTTTCAGCTTCAGCCGGATTTCAGCATCAGCCGTGACAATAATTAAAGTGATATTTAATCTGACTCTGTATTATTTTATTTATTAGTTCAGAAATCATGCCAAGTGCATAAATGATTATTCTTCATTCATTCCAATTTATGGAGTCACACAAAACCCGGAAACAAAAGAGTACATGGTTGTTATGCAATATGCTGACAATGGTAGTCTCTTGTCTTATTTGGATCAAAATATTAACAGATTGACGTGGGGCATGAAATTGCAGCATTTGAAAGACATTGCCAACCATCTAGCTGCTTTTCATGGTGTGGGTTTAGTGCATTGTAATCTTCATGGCGGAAACATAGTGTTACATAATGGTACTCCATTTATATGCGATCTTAGTCTCTCAAGATCAATGAATTCACGCGAGTTGAATTCAACCATTCGAGGCGCTTTACCCTATATTGCACCGGAAGTCTTCCATACTCGCAAATTTAAATTTACTCAAGAATCAGATGTGTATTCTTTTGGTATTATTATGCATTTGATGGCCACTGGTAAACCACCATTTAGAGATAGGCGGTTTGATACAAGTTTAATACGCGAGATTATGGATGGACTACGACCACCGATGCCTGATTCAGCACCAGAGAAATACAAGGAACTTGCCGAGCGGTGTTGTGATGCTGATCCTGATAAGCGTCCAGATGCATATACACTTTCGATTGATATTAAAAGGCTTGTAGAAGGACAGTATGTGGAATGCCGTTTTTCAATTGGTTATTAATGAACTCTATTAATAAACTTGTAATTCACCGGTTATTCCATTAAATAATTAAATACTATTACTATAACTATTACTATACTGTATATCCTTCCATGTATGTCAATAAAATACAGAGTACATTATTTAAAGTTTATGAAATTGGGAATGAGTTTGATGCTAATCGTTCCTGAATAAAATACGTAGCAACATTCGAGCTCGGTTCAAAGCCTCATTGTCAATTTCAGCACCAGCCGTGCTTCCTGACATTGTTTTCATACCCAACCCATGCAGTCGGCCAATAAGGCAAAATAGATAATGTTATTCAAGGCTTTGATAGACGCGATAGCAACTTCATGATTAGAATGCCCTGGAGACGCGATACAAGCAGATCCCACACCTGCTCGAAATCCTCCCATTGAAGAATATGTCTGAAATTCCTATAAGGACTAAAATCTTTGGTCATTACGTGAGTGATGAATCATCAATCCACTCATTCCCATCGCCATTCTTTTCACAATAATGTAGCAATGCAAGTTTAACAGCATCCAATAACGGAAGTAAACTTGCTATACACATATGCGTGCCACCATAATGGTCCGCTCATATAAACTGTGTGAAATAATGTTTGGTCTGCACCATGCCTAATCTCTGGCCGCTAGTTGCAACATCCATCGTCCTTGGATTAAGATGATTTGTTCAATATCGCGGATCGAAGAAGCATTCTTTGGTATATCATCATCCGTTCGTGGACTGACCCGCTAGGTCTGCTGAATAAAGTCGGATACATTCCATAATAAGTAACAGCTGTAGGACTAATATTCAAATCGCCCATAATAAACCGAGCGAGTCCCGTCATCTTTGTACTTGATGCACGGAACGGCACTCTCACTTCGACACTTGAATAATCACTACTCCGATTATGCCCCATCCCTCCATGTGAGCGTACACGGTTCGAATGGGGTGTTCTGTCTTTATAAAGCAATTCTCGGGCTTTAAATCTATAGAAAAAGAAGAAGAATTAGCAAAAGACAACTAACCAAGACAAATTCATAAAAGCTCGACGAAAGAAATACCGCGATGTGCGACGTGATGGTTGCCCTAGCATCCACAAGTAAGCGAGTGTCCCGACGTCTGAGGCAATTTATTCAGTCTCCAAACTTTCCTACGTAGGAACCTTTGGAACCATCTGAAACTGCATTTGCCTTTTCCCAATCCAATTTCGCTAGCATACAACATTGCCAAAGTTATAACGGCATCCATTGATTCACAAGCTTGGGTGCGGATTTGGTGCCAATGGGTGATTGGCTTGTTATCAAATGAAACGTTGCCAAGTCCCAGGCCAAGAGATTCGCGCGCGCGATCAAACGAGGGATATTGAGTAGCGAAAACGAGGCGTGTTTTTCAATGACAAACGAATTCTCGTCCGATTTCTAAAGATTGATTATATAATATTACTTTTACCGTTAGATGAAGAAGCCGAAACAAATCATATTCCCTCGTAAAGCAATTAGCTGTGCTGATATAATAATATACCCGAATTTCATTCCTTTCGTAGTCACGGTAACGGAAATATTGAAAATTTATTGCCCACGGTCATACAAATCACCACCGTATTAGTATTAGTGTTTGAACGAGTCGTTGTTACACAATATAACGGTTTGACAAATCGGAAAATCATGCAAGTTGGGAATACACGAACAATATAATGATAATGACAAAGTTATTCGGATTCTTCACGCAACACAAAAATGTTAACCTCCTCATCGCAAATGCGTTTCCATCAGTTGATAATCGTCACAAAAGCGTCCGAAACGGCCATGCTATCTTTGCTTGGAACAATTGCACAGGCGTGAAGGTTAAACCTGCCAGGAATTTTTTCCCCTCCCCACCTTGAAGTGGTTAATTTATCGACGCTCTCCCGATCACCGTACGAAACGACTTTTTCTTCGGGAATACCATACGGATACTCCTACGTATAGGAGTGGCGTTTTATCGCTAAAGATGGGACCACGTCCTATCACTATCATCCGCGGCAACAAAATTGTTCGACTCGAATCCGAAGTTGAGCAGATAAAAACAACGTCCGCGGATATACACGCAAACTAAGGCCCAGGCGCACGTTACCTGGGTATACATAAAAGCCGAATGTGCAAATTTAAATATTCAAAATTATTAATCGGTAGTAAATATGCATTAAGTAGCATCATCTACTAATACTAATTTCCTCTATTGTTCTGTTAATTTCGTTTCTAATTTGGTCTTAACTAATACTAAATGTTCTTTAATAAATCTTTTGTCAAAATAGTAGTTCGGAGTTTTTTTGATAACTTATAAATAAAATAGACGATCGTTCATATCCACCTTGTATACAGTAACGTGCAAAAGTATCCTACCGGTTGTATCATCTAAACGTACATAATAATAACTCCTTAAATTTTCCA